GCTACACAATGGGCTATCTGTGCTCTGCCCACCACGGGTATCGAAACCCGGATTTTAGCGTTGTAAGTCCGCAGACATACCGCTATGCCACTGGAGGCTCAGCGTACCAGCTTGGGAATTTTTAACACTAAATTTTTGGGTTCTACATCATGGTGGGCATAGCACAGATAGCCCATTGTGCAACATTGTAATTAATAACAAACAAAACAGTTTAAGAAATATCTATGCAGATACTGACAAACCAATGTATGCCTTTTAGTAATAATAATTACAATAATTTGTTAAATGGATACCAGTAAGTGTTTGTTGCCTTACGTGCTAAATGACACTATGTTTCGCTTTTAAATTTTTTTTTCAGTTAACGAACAAAAGTAATTTCAAGATGTCGGTTTTGTTGATGAGAATTCGTCTATTCATCTTATGGGATCAGCACGAAAGACCGGAATGTTCTTTGGAAAAATTCCTGGAAGATGATACCTAATTAGAATAAAAATGTTTATGAAAAGTACTAAGAAATGCCAGTATCTGTTGTATACTGTATTTCTAATCTAATTGTTGGTCCAATTTACAAACAACAACAACTTAATTCTATTAATATAACCTTTAAAGGGCATGTTGCTAATCTAACTTGTTGAGACAAAAAGGCTCTTGTCTGATGTATTATTTTGTGAATATTTCGTCAGGTTGGAGACAGTGTAGCTGCTCTAACAGAATACAAAGCTTGGGCTGAATTGACCAACGTTCCAGCAAAATTTGTCTACAAACTTCCAACTGGAATGAGCTTTCAAGACGCTACTGCGCTTCTCATGAGCTTTGTTATTGCCCAGATTTTATTGTTTGATATCGGAAATATTCGCAAAGGACAAAGTGTCTTGGTGCATTCTGTTGGGGGTGGAGTGGTAAGTATAACATTTTAAACAGCTAAACTCATGTTATAGCATTGCCTGAAATCAATATTACAAGTTTATTCATTGCTGTATTTTAATTTTATGGTATTCATAAGTAAAAGGTAAGTTACAAGACTTCAGTATGGAAGGTTCGAAAAGATTTGCTTAGATGAACACGGATAACGAGTAAAACAACTGGTGAAGGGTGTAAAAAGAGCACAACAAAACAACTTTTATTTTTTGATAAAATATCTAGTGTTTTTATACGCACTTACAGTGTCTGCAGTAGTCTAAAACTGGTTAGCTTCAACGCTAAAAGCACTTGACTTTTGAAGTGAAGAGGAACACGTCTCCATAAGACAAAAACTGGTTGGACTGTATCTATGTAACACTTGTTCAGACTAGGTCCTTAGTGCGGTGTCTCATAATCGTAGATAATGCCCATCAGGTGTCATCTTCATAACACATTTTACTTATTCTAACCTCTGCAAATCTTTGCAATGTTCACCACTGGTGCATGGTCCATACGCCAGGAGAAAGACAATATATAAGGCCTCTGAACCAATCGTTGTGATATGTAACATTAGCCTAATGTGTTTATTCAAGCAAGCCCTCAACTACCCGTTTAGGAGAACGTTGAATAAATGCTTCATACCAGCATGAATACACTTGAAGACATATTCCTGTTCTAGTTATGAAGGAATGAAACTTGGTAGTTTCAACTGTCACATTCTCTCTTTCCTACACTAGGATTTCTTAAACCCAAACTTTAAAATTTAAATTTAAATATCGAATTTAAGTGTCTAAATAAATGTAGGCTTATTTTCCATAATCATCGTCTTAGAATTCACACAAGATTCAATAGCATCTTCAGGTGGAACAAATAAGAGAAAAAACTATATTCATATGTAGGTTACATCTGCCAGTAAAACTAAACAAAATATAATAACTTAAAATGTTAAACAAAATATTAAAGTAAAATAATTGAAATAAAGTCCAGAATAAAATAACTCAGCAATACTGTTCAGATTAAAAACTATAATAAAATAAACCACAGAAAAAAAATTAAAATAATCACAACAAGTAAAAAGAGATCATAATAAGCCCAAATCAAAATTCAGAATGAACTTAAAACATGGCATAGGTTGAAAGAAGACTAAAGTTATTCTAGAAGAATTCATATGCATGTCACAACTCAATAAAATATACTCAAACCCAATTTAAGCACTTCAATTTTATAAACTGGTAGAAGTAACCATAACAATTTGAGATAAAGTGCTTAGAAAATAAAACTCATAATGTGAAACCCAGAAGGAAATTAAACCAAACAGAGCTCTTATTAATTAAACTGAAAATAATTTCAAACGTAATACAGGCTAGAATTAAGGCGAAATGAAAAAAAAAACCCAAAATATAAATCTGTATTGCAACTCAAAATATTAGAGGTAAAATACTGGTTGAAACTCAAATAATATTCCAAAGTTAAATAGCAAAAAATAGTGAAAAGTAAAAGAAATATGACACTTAAGATAAAATCATTAGTTCAATTAAATTATAACACTATATCAAGATGTATGTCAAGTAATTCTCGCTCAACAAAGACACAGCGGTAAGTCTGAAAACTTATAACGCTAAAAAACCAGGTTTCGATACCAATGGTGGGCATAGCACAGATAGTTCATTGCGTAGATTTTGTGCTTAACAACAAATAAACAAACAACTTGCAAAAGAACAAACAAAAACGAAGCACAATTTGGTAGTTAAAATTACAGTTAAACATTATACAAGTATATATCCATACAAAAGTGAATATAAAATAAACCTTTCCCACTTATATATTAATAAATACGCACAATTATGGATTCCATCATTCTGTCTTCCTATAAATATAACAAAGTTTTCACGGTCCCATCTAGACCACTGTTTAGCTGAGATGTTAAGATCTTTGGGATTATATCCTTGCCAACCTGCACCTATCCCTTCAATGTCTTTAAATCCTTTTGCAAGAGTTGAGTATTACTGACGGTGAGTCAGTAATTTCTATTGTTGTCTCGCTTAATGTGGTGATAAAATGCCTATTGACACAGAGTAATGGCCACCGTCCGCTTAGAGTTTTGGACTTAGCAGTGTAGGCACCATTACTTGATAGTGTCCATGTCAAGGGTCCACTGGGATAACGCTGGGCAGTGGCTGAGGCAAGGTGGAAGTTTGGGCAGTGATTGGACATTTTTGGGTCCAATGTTTTGGATGTTTTAAGGGATTGGAAGATTTCATTTAGATAAGTTGAAGACCTCCTCACCCCTGTGTTGTTTTGATGTGGAATACGTTTTTTCTGGACATTACTGAAACTTAGCTTTTCCTGTACCTGATTAATAATTTTCCAGCAGCAGAAAAGGTGTTTTAGTGGCTGAAGAGCTGGTGACTACCGTTGTGGTCCATCTTTCTGGGATGTGGTGGTTGGTTGCAGCAGTGCCTTACACTTCCTAAGGTTGAGGTCAAAGACTATGAACTTTGAAGGCTTGGAAGAGCCGTTTACTCATGCCTGATCCAGTCTGCTTGGAGTCCTCCATCATTGGTTCTGGTCACACTTTTTCTGAATGTATGGACACCTTGTCAATGTCTCTGTAATATTTCAGCAAGGAGACTTACGTTGCTTTTGATTTTTGTTGGTCCAAGAATAATCCAGTCAGTGGTCAATAATCATAATTTTTTGTAACCAAATCCAGGTATGATCTCACACTGCAACATAAAACAAAATCACATCGCCTAACATGGCAGATGAAACTTTTGCAGATAGACATTCACACACAAACTTAACGTAACTGTTCCACGAGTAAGAGTTGCAAAGTTATTTTAGCTTATCTGTATGTAAGAGTTTTCAGTAACTATCAATAGGCAAGAATAACCATTAGTATTCTCTGGTCTTCTTCGACACCTTGAGCTGTGTTCATCTATTGTGCACTCTGCTACATAGAAATGTTACATTAACACCTTATAAGTATTTCATAAGTGAATAGCTCAGAAAGTAACAAACGCCCCTTTCTTTCAGTTGTTTGTGTATTAATAACCACATGAGAAAACTACTATTCAGTCAATTAATCCCATCCATAAAGATAACGAGGCTAATTCTGGCATATCTTATCACTTCTGGAAATGATCAAGCATCTCCAAAGATTATATTACTTTGTATTTCAACATCCTCTTAGTTTCAATGCTGGCAGTATCTTGATATTTTATTGTTATTCTTCTCAGATAGCCATCTGGACTCAGAAACATATCAGTGAACTCAATGAGTTTAAATTATCAACACAATCGTCAACCATCAATATTTTAAGCTCTGAAAATCACACGCTTACTTAGTTTCCGTTGCAATGCCAACAGCTATTTCATCTGAAAGCCGATTAGCTAAATTTCCATGGTTACAGGTCAGCACTAACATAGTTACAATAGTTTTAATGCCATAGTTTTATGTGTCACTTCTACCTCAATAGCATACAGTGACAACACAACATAATGAATTTGTAGCAAGCCATGGAACATCACATACACGTTCGAAGGCATCACAACTTTTTCTCAATATGCATGCATACAGTTCATTGCTATCAAGCTTAGTCTGATCAGCATTGGATAGTCTATCTCCAGGACTGTTGTTCATCTGTTGCACAAATAAAACTGGTTGACAACTTAATCAGTAACTCTATCCCTAAGATACCACTGCCCAAACCAAAATGAGATGCATTTACATTTGTTAGGTGATTGACAGTGCCAAAGCAAAGTCAAAGGCTTGCTTATTCACTCATCTAGCTTGTCACCATTTTCTAGAATGAAATTCCTGTTGATTGGTATAAATGGTGGCTTCATTCAGAATGCCTGATACACAATAAGGTCAACTAGAAACCCAACCTGGTATCTATGTGTCATTACAAGCACATACCATCTTATACCAAGTCTTTGGCTATCTAAATCAGCAATCATACCTCTTAAGTGTGAACTGACTGCTGCACCTGCCAATGTGTTGCTGAAAAATCATCACTATTTGAAGGAAGCCATCGTTATCTTTTTAAATTTTGTAGACAAACACATTTTTAGGAATGTGGTATCACTGATAAAATAAGCAGTGGAATCCAGTTCTTCCTGGTAGAATTAATTTGTCATACCAATCTCACTTCTCTCCTGGGTCACAGGCAACCCTGAACAGCACCTAGCACGGACTTGTCAGCAAGCATTTAGGGGGCCCATAAAAACTACCCCAATTTGTCTGACAACGTTCAGACTAATCATTCCCATCATGATTCATCCGACGTCTGGTATATGTAGGAAGCAACCAAGCTAAAATATTCCCTAGCTGTATCTCATGGTCTTGTTTATGAGGACACGGGTTAAGAATGTGAACATATCTCTCATTACAGCAAGCAAGCGCCCTTGGTCCAGAAGAGTGCTTCTTTAAGTCTGTACTATACAATAAGATCATGACCTCATCTTAGCTACTGCTTCCTCCTCTCCACTGCAAGCTTGACATGGTAATAGGAATTATGTTTCCATAATCATAACTTACGCACTTAATAGCATACAGAATAAAGAAGTACATTCAAAATAAACTCAACAACAACAAAAAAAAGTCCTTGGTTACAACGCCAAAATTATTTTTCGTATCTTTGTAGCATTCACCCGTAAAAACTATCCAGCAGATAAGTTAAAAGATCACAGTGTGGAAAGTTCTGGATTAGCTAGGCCAAACGTAATAAGATACAACACAACTACAAAATAAATACTAACAAATATGTTTAAACACAACAATAAAACAATATTTATTGACTTTTTTTAACAAAACTCTAGGCATTTTGTCACACTCATAAACATGCTGTCTACAGTGCTCTGACGAAAACCGACCAGCTTCCAAGTTAGTGTTAAATTACTTGGTTGTTTAAATCAGGAGGGGCGTATTTTCATAAGAAAACAGCTTTTAGGATTCTGTGACGTGGTTTTCTTTCTTGTATATGTTGTCTAGAATAGTCTATAACGTACGAATCTTTGGATTATGGGATACTATACTTGGACCCTTTTGTCTGATTTGAAAGTACGGTATACCACAATTCTTTCTACCATTATATGATGCAGACGTATTTTGAAAAGCTACCTTCTCCAGCCTCAGCAGCCAGTGAAGTCACAGCAACAATTAAGAATCCAACCAGTTGGTAAACTATAACCATCATTACGAATAAAGATTTTTATTATTATTGTTCATTTGCGTTTGTTTATTTTTCCTTTTCTGTCCATGCTTGATTTATTCTTCACTTAATTGCCCCGAATCTGCGTTTTGCAGAAACTTTTAAACTTATGTATTGAGTTTCAGTATATCTACATACCACATTTTCTTAAATTTCCTTACTTAGCTTAATATCCAAAAGTTTCTGGGATTTGGGATAAGCTGTTTAGGACCAGGGAAATAGGCTTTTTTTTCTGTGTGTTTACCTATACTATTGCTAACATTTAAACGTTGTTCATTTTCTTTGTTTGTTTGTTTTTAGAGCAAAGGCATATTGAGCTATCTGATGTGTCCACCGCGGGAACTCGAATCCCGGATTATAGCATTTTACGTCCGTAAACTTATCACTGTCCTATCGAGGGACCTAGGGAAATAACGTTGCCCAAAATGTAGAACTTGGGAGAACGACACGTACGCATATGCGCACACACAATCAGATAGAATTATGTATTGGTGGTCTCACTTCTCGAGTTTTAGCTTCTTTTTACAAACACAGAAACTAAAACTTTTCTGAGATCAGCTACGTCACTTATTGTTAATGTGTTCACAATTCACAATGAACACATTGTTCCATCGCCTCTTGAATTTCAAAACTACGACAACGACGAGTTGAGAATTGTCTAAAGTTTCTGTAAAATAATTCAACCGCACTGATAATATAAAATAATACTTAGGTAATCTGCACTCGTATTGCTATTTCGCTTTTTTCAGTTTGGTGTATGCTATATACGTTGTTCAACTATACTTAATTAAAATTACAATGATTTATAGTCTTAATCACTATTCCGAATTAATCAATCGCTAAATTTTACTGCATTACGCCAACATTGCTTCTTAATCTGTCACATTGCAGAACTGTATTGACGTTTGATACGATCGTAAGTAAACCTGTGTCTAGAAAGGAGTAGTTTGTCGATTTAGTACACATGTTTACGAATAGTGAACCTTTTAAGTAAATAGCATAAGTTACATTTTACATAAACATATTTGGAATCTATTAAGACTGTCTGAGAGCGAACAAATATAACTTTTGATAATAATTTATACCTAACTCGTCAGTCTGAATTAAGTTCCAGCCTCTTAGGTTTCGATGAAAATGTATTTTATTGGGTGATGTTTCAATTTCCACCGTTGGATAACACTATACAGATGGGGTTAAATGACAAGAAACTGTATGTTTCAAACACCTAAATAAGGGGCAATATATTAGATGGAATTAAACTGATTTAAACAGCACCACGACATTGAATTTGAGAACAATATTTCGGCTCTTCTATGACCACCACTAGATTTAGTATAAAGCTGCTATATTAGAAAGAAATATGTGAGTTAAAACGTCTCTACTTGTTTGTTAATGTGATTTTCAACAAAACTTACCGTATTTTTCGGAATATAAGATGCACCGGTGTATAAGACGCACCCTTATTTTCAAGACAAAGTTTTGGGGAAAATTTACTATACTAACTTTACTAACTCCATTACTATAATTTATTTTTTTTATTATTTAAGGAGCATTGTAAATAGTTATGTTTTTAAAGAAAAAAATAACTATTGTTAT